TTAGAACTTGTAAAGTGTTGACTAGAATTTACTGAAGAACAAGTTAACAATTGAAGTTGTACAAGCTACTTTTATATCTACTAGAAGTACCTATTCGATAATGTACCTGTTCGAGCTATTCGCGCTACACGCTCTAACCGCTACTGAAAAGAGCGCTACTGTTCACGTGACTGAAACGGCTTGTTGACGTAACCATCCAGACGAGCGCTATTTGCTGACGTCATCCTACGGATGCTATCTACAGTGTAACTCGACAATATCCATCAGAACTACTTACAGAAATGCTTAAGTATGACTTTATCACAACACTTCTCAACAGCCTGTGCCCTTTTCCCAACAATAAATATCAATCGCTAGTCCATGGACCCCTGAGTTCGCTCCTCCAGCTTCTCCCACTACACCCTCTCAATCATGCGCTCGCACGTCGCCACATCTGTGCCCTAGCACCATAGTGCCGCACTTTCAGCTTCGCTCGTCATGCGCTTATGCTCGCTCATCCAGCTTCTCCCACACCCTCTGGGCCATGTGCTCAGATGTCTGCATCTGCTACCTTTGCACCTGTTGGCTCTACACCTGCTAGCTCTACAAGTGGACTTCTTTTGTTTGTTGCTCCCACACCACCACCTGCTCCAAGACCATCTTACCAACCCCCCTCACCCCTTTCCCCTTCCCCACTTGCAGCAGCAGCAGCGCCAAGAGTGACTGGGTGGCCGTTGTTGGATCGGCTGCAGATGGAGGGCAGGAGAGGCACGTGGAGGATGGAGGCAGAGAGAGACGATGTGGTGACAACGAGGGGTGGTTGAATAAAAGGCACCCCAGCTGCGCCAAGAGTAGCAAATCAGCCGCTGATACATCAGCTGCACAAAGACGGCAAGAGCGGCACGTGGAGGGTGGGAAGGGAAGCCAGGTCCGATGGGGTAGTGGGAGGTGGATAGCCTGGATGGATATGGATTAGGGTGCGCCTCTGACGCTGTCTAGGCGACTGTAGATAGACGGTATGAGATGCACCTGGAGGGTGGTGGGTGGTTTGGAGAGATGGTTTTGAGGCAGCATATCGCAGTCTGAGGGGCTGTGGAAGGGGGGGTTGTGGCAATGGTGGACAGAGACAAGCGCCGGGAGGAGGACACGGGAAAGGGGGAAACGCTGAAGGAACAAGCTTTGAGGAGAATAGAATGATCGAGTTGTTGTGTGATGTTATTAAATGCTATCATTTCAAAAAGAGGTCATTTCAATTACTTGCTCAAGCAGAATATCATCAACCACATTCACAAAACTCCAGAACACACCACTTATAAATTATTGCACACATTCAAACCACACATGCGAGTTGAAACATGGGATGGGGGGCAGACAAAATGTGATAGCATATGATGACATCACACAACAATGTCCCCCTCTGGCTGCCAACCATCATCCACCATGCTACATCTCAAGCATGCATACTCAATGCACACTCATCTCGGCAACCTTCATGCCCTTCCAATGATCCGCCTCCGCCAGACACTTAGTGAAAATATCTGCTGCCTACTGATTAGTCTTCACTATCACCAGCTGCACCTCCTTATCAAAGAATCTCCTCACCCAATGCCACTTAGGCCTGATGTGTATTGTCAGCCCATGAAGACAAGCATTTTTGGCTAGCTTTACTGCAGACTCATTATCACAGAAAATAACTGTCGGCTCCTCCTGACCAACTACCAAGGCCTCCAACAAACGCCTCAACCATACCATCTCCTTGGCCCCATGATTTAAGGCAATGCACGCTGTCTTATATAAGGACAATCCCACCTAATTTTGCTTCTTGCTGCGCCAGCTCACAGCACCACTTCCCCCATTTGGTCCATTGAAGGCTTCTTATGGAGTCTTGGGCTCGAGGATTGGTGCCCAATAGTAGTGAGCGATCTCATCTTCCTCAGACTGCTCAACCACAATCCTAGCCTGCACCACATTCAGCTTGCCTCTTCCCCCATGGGTCAGCCTTACAGGAGGGCGCACATCCCTCCTAGATCGCTCAGGTGGGTGTGGAACTCGAGGTGGAGAATCATGCTGCTGCTACTGCTGCTCCACCTCAGCTGCTCCCCCTTCCTCAGTCACCCCAGACATCTCCTCCTCAGACACACTGCAACCTCCATCTATCTTGAAGGCCAATGCACCTCATCTGCCTCCATAATGAGAGGTGTAGATGGAAGCTTCTACTGCTTTTGCTTCCATTCCTTGTAGTACAAGGACTCTAAAAACCTCACATCCCTTGACACGGTCAGCTTCTGGGTGGTCAAGTCCCACAACAGCCACCCCTAGTGATCCTTTGCAATCCCCAAGTGCACACCCCATCTTCTAGAAGCCTCCAACTTCCCTATTTTCTCCTTAGGCACATGAAACACCACCATGCAACCAAAGGCCCTCAGCATGTTCACAGCTGGAGCAGTCCCATACCACTTGGTATAGAGGATCCACTACTTATCCCCAACTGTAGCCAGCATCTTGTTCTTCACAAGGGCGACCTGCCTGAGTTCGAACACCCAAAATGGATCACGCAGCCCTGCACGCCCAAGGAGAGTGCGTGCCTCCTCTTGCAGGGTCCAGATGAACCTCTCAACCATGCCATTTTGCTGCAAGTTAAAGGCACTATGAGTTGATACCGGATCCCCTTCCTCTTCAACTCCCCCTCAAAATTAGCTCCAATGAACTCCCCACCATTGTCACTGCGGATCACCTTCACCTTGTGTCCGCACTCCCTCTGGGCTCTATGCATCGACTCCTTAAGGACAGCCACTACCACCTCCCCCTTGCACTTTTGAGGGTAAACCCACATTGCCCGAGTGTGGTCATCCACAATGGTCAAGAAAAAGCGGCTGCTTGAGAGGGAAGGGGCTCTTGTGGGCCCCACCACATCCATGTGCAGAAGTTCAAGTGGGGTCTTAGTTGGTCCAGTCGCACTGTTGAAAGGGAACTTGGAGAACTTGGTCTCCAAGCATGTAGGGCAGCTCCCAATCTCCACTCTCTCTTTCACCTCCAAGCCTTTCAAGCTCCCATCCTTCACCAACTTCTGCAGCATAGGGAAGGTCACACGATACAGCCTCTCATGCCATGTCTCCCAATCAGCCTCACCACTCCTAGATGAAGCCTTAGCCCATGCCGTACTCGCATCCACACCAGCAAGCACCTCACCAAGTTGTTGCTGTTGCTGCACTTCCTTCACTGCTTTCAAGACCTCATTAGTTGGTGCAGTTGCATCTCCTCCTGCTGATGCCTTTGCCACCACTGCCATTGATGCCGATGGAGTCTTCCCATTCCAAGGAATGATGGGCAGCTGCCACAGGTCCTTGATACAGCTGGTCTCCTCTTCCATACTCCACAAAACCTTCTTCCCAAGCTTAGCACGGTAGCTGGTTGGTCCAAAGGTCACTTGAGTCTTACTCTTTTGCAGACGCCACACCAAGAGAAGGTTAGCAGACAAACCTTCAACCAGTAGAACATTCCCAAGTCCCACAAGATTCCCACTAGCCCCCTTAGCCTTGGCATTCCCAACACCAATAACAGGGAGCAAAGCATCTGACGCTGCTGCCGTATACTTGATCTTTCCCGCGGGTTTTACCTCATCAAGCAAATCTGCCCGTGGGGTCATGTGACATGTGCAACCTGAGTCAATCACCCAATAAGTGAGAGGATGCATCATAATATTTCCCACGGATCCCACATCACCCTCATGCCCATGCATATCCTCAACCATGAGAAACATCTCTGGGGAGGCATTACCTTGTGCACCTTCACCTTGTGCACCTGAGCCTTGCACAGCGCCACCTTGTGCACATTCACCAGTGGGTGGCTTCATGCCTAGAGATGCCCATCCTTCCGGCCTGCTGAAGCACTTGAACCAAGGATTCCCAACCTTCTTGTAGTACCAGTAGGTGCCTTCTATTCTGGTACTCTCCCTGCCTCCAAAGCTCACATGCCCCTCATTATTATCCCCTCGGCCTCTTCCTCTGCCAAAGCTTCTCCCACAGCCTCGGCCACTCCAACCAACCACTCCTCTTCTAGAAGAATCTCCTCCTCTCTCATTCATCTTCTCCTTGCAAAAAGTTGAATTTCAGCTCCTCCTTGCTGTCCACAAATTTTCGGCAGAATTTCTCCTCAGCGGAATTCACATCCAACCTTCAGAACGCCACGTTTGCACACCCACAGGCCTGATGGGAATCGTGCAAACCTGGAGAGAACTAATTAGAGATTAAGTCTGACGACCTCAATGGAACATTGCGTGCAGCTCAGGTAACTTCTAGAAATGAGCCTATACGCGTTGGAAAGGTCTTAATCTCTACTTTCCAAAATGATAAAGCACGTTCATAACCAAGATCTGAGCCGCCGATTATGACGAAATCAGTATGAGGGGATATTCTGGTAATTTGGCTAGGCAGCCATGAATGACCTAGTAAAAACGAGAAGGGAAGCAGTTCAATCAGGAAAAGTTCGAGTATGTGATTGTCAAACACCACCAACCCTTGCCCTAGACCAAACACCAAAACTCTCAAGTGCCACGACTGCAACATCAAAGATGTTGTAGCGGGTTTGAGGTTGTATGGTTCGGAAATGTAACGAGTTCAAACCTTGCCAACCAACCCAAGTTTTTTTGCCCAAATCCCAATAGCCCACAACCAGCTAGAGCAAACTACACCACAGAACACTACACATTTATCACTCCCCCTTGCTCGTGCTGGGTGTGGCTCAACACCATAGGGCAAAAGACTTCACACCACTCCCCCTTGCCCATGGGTTGGGGCCACCCAGAGCATGGCGTCCGCCAAGGAGAGGAGCACCAAGGCGCCGGCATCTGCTGCGGGAACCCTCTTATTGTGGGGCTGCATCCCGAGCAAGGTCATGCACACACCATGGCGCTCAAATGGAAGAGACTTGGTAAGGATATCAGCAGCCTGACGGTTGGTGGGGCACCAATGCAAAATCACCTCTCCCGCAGCCACCATCTCCCGAATGAAATGCCACCGGACCTGCATGTGTTTGGCGCGGCCATGCAAGCATGCATTCTGTGCAAGGGCAATGGCAGACTGATTGTCCACAAACACAGGCACACCACCAGCATGAGCATGGCCAAACTCCCCAAACAAACGCCTCAGCCACACACCCTCCTGAATGCATTGACACAGGGAATGAGGTTCTAGGCAGCTTTCCAGATGTGCAGTCAGGGCATTTTCTCTGCTGCCCAGCTCCTTCCTTGACCTCCACCCCCTTCAGCTCCCCCTTCTTCATACACTCCAGTAGTTGCTGCTTCCCCGCGTGCCCCATGCGAAGGTGTAGCAACTCAGGTGACACCGTTTCCACCTGCCTCCAGCGAGTGCTACAAGCGGCTTCCTCAGAACAAACCATATGTCCCTTGTAACAATTAGGCACACAAGCTGGAACAAGGTATAAACCCTTGTCCAGCTTTGCCTCCATCACCACAGCTTCACCCTTTCTAACAGTGCACCCTCCCTCAGTGAAAGTGCATTTGTATCCCTGTTTAGCCAGCTGCGAGCATGAAAGGAGGTTTGCAGCCAAACCAGGGACGTGAAGGACCCCCTTCACACCCACTAGCTCCCCCTCCTTCCCCTTAATGGTGATCGTGCCGATGCCAATTGCCTGCAGAAAATCTCCGCTCCCAACAATCACGCTCCTAGAGTTTGGTGGGAGAGGATGGTAGGAGGTGAAGAGATAACGGCGAGGAAGCATCCCAGATGTTGCTCCAGAGTCTAGAACCAGGAAGTTGGGGTCAGCCAATGCACGACCAGCAAGAGATGCATCCTGCCCTAGCATGAGAAACGAGAAACCATCATCGGAGGAGTCGTCTTGGCCCTTCCCCTTCTCATCCTTAGCAGCTGCGGCCGTTGCTCCCTTGCTGCCCTTCTTATTCCAGAGCCCCTTCTTCATCCTTTTCTCCACCCAATCAGGTTTGGTCACTGGTGGGGCCTCTCCAGAGTAGCCGTGAGGCTTCCATCCCTCAGGCCTACTCCAGCAACTCTTCCAAGAGTGTTTTTGTTGCATCCGGGCACAAGGCATTTGTCCAACTCTTTCTTCTTCCCCCCACCTCCTTGCTGTTCATAGCCTTTCCTGAAGGAAGCTTTATCTGCTGCACCCATGCCTCCTTCTAGGCCTCTTCCAGCATCAACCTTGCGAGCCTCATCAGAAATTAGAACCTCCCAAATCCACACCTTGGTCCATTTCTGTTGCTCGAGGTGAAGGTACTGTAGTAATGCCTCATTAGCCGCTTGATCCAACCCTTGGAGTGCAGTATAGATTATCTCCTTCTCATCTACCATGTAATCCAGCTCCTCCAAAGCCCTCACATTCTCATCCACCCTCTGGAGATACTGAACCATGGTCTCCCCCTCCCCATAGTTCCGCTCCATGGTGTAAAACCGCTTCCGCCAAGTAAGCACGCTTAGAAGCCCTTTCTGCAAGTGCCTATCTTGCACTCTTTTCCAAGCTGCAGCTGCTGCACCTTCCTTCCCCTTCAGGTCAATCAGCATCTTAAGAAGCTCAAGTTGCCCCTCCAAAGCCCAACACAGGTACTGAAATGCCTGGCGATCCTTCCGATCCCATGCTTCTTGAGCTTTGAGCAACTCCTCGCGACTTGGTTGCGACCTTCCGGTTCGAGTTGCAGCAGTTCCTCCTTCATTCCCCCCACTCAACGACGCTCCCCCAGCCCCGGATCCCACTTGGCTGGTTGCTCCAGTAGACACCTCCCCAGAGTCAGCTCGTGGTCGCTTCTCCGATCCATCCAACACACTTTCTAGGTCCTTAGTACCTAGCCATAGTGTGAACTGGAACCTCCATAGCGAAAAGTCCGAGCCGGTAAACCTAGGAAGGCCATCCAACTTTTGGGCCATGTCAAACCCTAGATCTGGAGCACTTCAAGCCTCTCTAGATCTCTTTCAATGGAGGAAAGAACGTCCTCTAACCGTGGCTCTGATACCAGTGATGGGAATCGTGCAAATCTGGAGAGAACTTATTAGAGATTAAGTCTGACGACCTCAACGGAACATTGCGTGCAGCTCAGGTAACTTCTAGAAATGAGCTTATACGCGTTGGAAAGGTCTTAATCTCTACTTTCCAAAATGATAAAGCACGTTCATAACCAATATCTGAGGCGCCGATTATGACGAAATCAGTATGAGGGGATATTCTGGTAATTTGGCTAGGCAGCCATGAATGACCTAGTAAAAACGAGAAGGGAAGCAGTTCAATCAGGAAAAGTTCGAGTATGTGATTGTCAAACACCACCAACCCTTGCCCTATGTGAGAGTACGACCCCGTTACACTATTTCCCCCTTTCCATATTTCCTTTCTATTTCATTCCTCTTTTTATCCTCATTCATTTGGTCTTTATCTCATCTCATTTGGTTTCCTATTCCTCATTTTCCATTATCCTTTGGTTTATCCTGTTATTATAGTTATATCACCGACTAGGCTCGGGATGTACTGGCGCGCTATATCTAGCGTAATCCTGCCGTAATCTCTTAAAGCCAATAGCCTCGCGTGGCTATACGCAAGGTGATTCTATTTCTAGAAGGGTCTATTTCCTTTGGATAGGATAAGCCTGGTTACCTGATGTATTCTAGAAGTATAAAAGCACCTTGTACTGATTGATAGTGGAACATTGAGCAAACCTTTCCTCGGAACATTCGATCCTGTGACACCCTAGACCAAACCCCAAAACTCTCAAGTGCCACAACTTCAACATCAAAGATGTTGTAGCGGGTTTGAGGTTGTATGGGTCGGAAATGTAACGAGTTCAAATCTTGCCAACCAACCCAAGTTCTTTTGCCCAAATCCCAATGGCCCACAACAAGCTAGAGCAAACTACACCACATAACACTACACATTTATCAAGGCCATGGTGGGTCTAGAAGGATCCTCACATATGTGTTTACTCCTCTCAATGTCCTTAATATAGTTCTGATACCACTTGTTAGTACTAAGGAGGAGTCTAGGTGAACTTTGAAGCTAGAATATATATATATATATATATATATATATATATATATATCTATCTACATATATACATCTATGAAATTGTGGACAGAAACGTCGTAACCACAAGAAACGTCGCCAACAAAAAAAAACTAGTTGCTGGAATCTTGCGAAAATCCAATATGCTGTAGCTCATAATCTCACCCATCGTTCCCAGTTTTAATCATGACAATTAATGGTGTATTTGCGACGCTATGGCTTTGGATGCACAGGGGGTTATGCTGTAGAAGAAGAACCTTACTCAATCTAAAAGTTCAATCAAGGTCTAAGAATCTGACAAGGAATAAGAGGAGCAAGAAAAAGGTTAGAAGGGAAGAGAGGGATGAGATGGAAGGTCCCAAGAAAGTCTGCAACCAAGAGAACCACATACGCACAAAGTTCCTTCCCTATAGGAACCCCAACATTGACCTTCGTCCCTTCCCACCCAATTTAAAAAAGTTGGCCACACTTTCCAACCTAGCTTGGTCTTTTTAAACCAATTTGCAGTTGCTACAGTAGAGTGAAACTTTTCCCAACCCCCAATGGTCCCAACTCCATATTGAGTCACCCCACAACTTCACTTTGTAACTGCCGCAATTGTAATGCAAGCCTATCAATTTTAGAAGTTCATAGCATTCTTGTTCTTGCTCCGGTTGAAGCGATTCTAGATCCAATAAAGGCTCTTCTCAAGAGAGGTCATTTCAAATAAAAGCTCAAACAGAATATAACCAACAAAATTCACAAAACCCCTGAAGACACCACTAATATATTCTTGCGCACATTCAAACCACACATGAGAATTGAAACATGCGATGGGATGCAGACAGAATGTGATAGCATATGATGACATGGCTGCCTAGGGTGCATGGCTCTGTGCTGCTGCCTAGGTTGCATGGTGCTGTGCTGCCGCCTAGGGTGCATGGCGCTGTACTGCCGCCTAGGGTGCATGGTGCTGTGCTGCCGCCTAGGGTGCATGGCCCTGTGCTGCTGCCTAGGGTGCATGGCGCTGTACTCCCGACTAGGTTGCATTGCAATGTGCTGCCGCCTGGGGTGCATGGCGCTGTGCTGCCGCCAAGGGTGCATGGCGCTGTGCTGCCACCTAGGGTGCTTGGTGCTGTGCTGATGCCTAGGGTGCATGGCGATGTTCTGCTGCCTAGGGTGCATGGCGATGTGCTGCCGACTAGGGTGCTCGCTGCTGTTCTGCCGACTAGGGCGCATGGCGCTGTCCTGCTGACTAGGGTGCATGGCGCTGTGCTGCTGCCTAGGGTGCATGGCGCTGTGCTGCCGACTAGGGTGCATGGGGGTGTACTGCTGCCTGGTTTGCATGGCACTGTGCTGCCGCCTAGGATGCATGGCACTGTGGTACCGCCTAGGGTGCACGGCGCTGTGCTGCTGCCAAGGGTGCATGGCGCTGTGCTGCTTCTTAGGGTGCATGGCACTGTGATGCCCTCCAGGGTGCATGGCGCAGTGCTGCCGACTAGGGTGCATGGCCGGTGCTGCCGTCTAGGGTGCATGGCGCTGAGCTGCTGCCTAGGATGCATGGTGCTGGGCTGCAGCCTAGGGTACATGACGCTGTGCTGCCGCCTAGGGTGCATGGCGATGTGCTGCCGACTAGGGTGCATGGCGGTGTGCTGCTGCCTAGGGTGCATGGCGCTGTGCTGGCACCTAGGGTGCATGGCGCTGTGCTGCTGCCTAGGGTGCATGGCCTGTGCTGCTGCCAACTAGTATTTTTTCATCGGCGACGTTTCCGGTGTGCACAACTTTTCTGTCCAGAATTTCGGATATATATTTTGAGTAATTCTAGCTCCTAAGTTCACCTAGACTCTCTCCTTAATCCTAACAAGTGATATCAGAGCCATATTGAGAACATTGAGAGGAGTCTACAGAAGTTTGAAGACCCTTTTAGACCCACCATGGTCTGTGGGTGTGCCTAAGTGGTGTTCTAAAGGTTGGATTTGACTTCCGCCAAGGGGAAGCTCTATCGAAATTTCGTGGACGCCGACACTTGTGAAAATATCGAGTGAGCTGAGTGTGGACAGCAAAGGGGAGCTGAAATTCCACATTTCTCAAGGAGAAGATGAATGAGAGAGGAGGAGATGCTGCTGGAAGAGGAGCTGTACCTGAGAAAATAAGTGAGCCA